AGGAATGGTTTGCAGCAGAAAAGGGAGCTTCTCACATTAACCTATTACAATCACAATTATGACCCGATCTGCTCTACTTATGTAGAACGCCATCTTTGCAGTGCGCATGCTCATTAACACCGTTGCATACGCTATTTCGGTCAATGGTGAAAGACGTCGCGGTTAGTCATCACTGCCTTGTCTTTGGTGACGGTTAAGGTTTCGTAGATAAAAAAAAAATCAGTGGCGGTTACGAATAGAACTACAAGGCTGAAAAACTATAAAAAATTGAAGCTGCACGCCTGCAGCTGGGCTACTTAATTACGGCGCGGAAGAGATGATAAGGTGGATGCATCAACACTTGTGCATAATATGGCCAGATGAACGCATACCCAATTACTGGCATTTAAGTGTGATCTGCCCAATCCACAAGAAAGTCGGCCCGCCATGCGCGCCAACCACCACGGGTTGATCAGCCTTTTAGTCATCGGATATAAAGTATTGGGTGAAAGACTAAAGGCCCGCAAAAGTTCTATGTGGACCGGCCTTAACAATCAGGGCGCTCATGTCACTGTTAACAGCTATAATTTGCACTGAGTAGGCAAGTGAGAAATAAATTATTCTCTTGACGTAAAATAATCATACTCTAAAGCAGTGATTCCCAAAGTAGTCCAGGTGGACCACCAGGGGTCCACAGGAGACTAGACAGAGGTCTACGTTGGCGTGAAAAATATATGGGGGTCCACGAGTTGTAAGTGGGTGTCCACAAAAATCCATCTGGTTTCGATAGTAAAGAACCAAAATAGTTGATTGATAGCCTATTTATTTAACTTTAATTTTTTTGGGTGGTGTATAGTGCTCTTGACGCACTTACCGTCACTTTGTGTCATCATACGTGGGAAAGCCTTAAAGGCCACCTACAGACTAAAAAGAAACGGATCTTGGTATAACACTGAGTGAGGTGACACGGAATTTGCCAGCAACAGATATTTGAGCACTTGTGTCTTTGCAATGCTACAGGATACTACGCCACCATTACTTTAAGCTGAAGCACAACACCGGCGAACGGCAAATTTTTCGTCGCGAATGTTCGCCGAGATAACTAAAACACACTGATTTATATGAGAACGCGCACAACCAAAGCAAACGGCGAAGTTTGCTCGACGACTGTTCGCGACGATAGATTTATTTCTATTGTCTTCGGTCTTCCAGGCTGAGGTATTTGCAATCCTCAAATCTATAGACCACCTAGTGGAAAATAGGTGGAGGGGAAGGGTGTTTACGTGTCTACTGGTAGATCCAAGCTGTACGGCATTGGCTAGCCTTCTATCTAAGTTCTTCCGAACTATGTAGTAGTAGAGACTATTTAAAAAATGTATCACATGCAAATTCATGAGTGAGCCGAACAAGTGCGGAGTTTATTTAGTGCACTTAAAAAATATAACTCCTCAGAGCGAGATAGTTCTTTCATGGCTTTACAAGCTCTGTTGTTTTATAACTTGCTTTATTTTAATAAATAGAATACAAGAAAACATTTTATTTTTAATTTTGCCACTGTGAACTTAGTTTTGGAACTCGCCCGCGATGCAAAATTTCATCGTTAGAATTAATCTTCACATTTTCTGATGACCTTTGGGAATAGGTTCGGGGGGTCCGCCGAAACCAGTAAAGTTTTGAAATGGGTCTACGAGAAAAATAAGTTTGGGAACCTCTGCTCTAAAGTAACTCAACATGTCGGTGCTGGTGTATGTCGCAGAACCAAGGACAATGACACATCCGATGAATGAGGCGGCCCTTGGAGTGTTCGAGAGAAAGATCTTGCAGAAAATTGACAGATCATTGCGTATTGGCGACGAAGAATACCGGAGATGATGTGTCGTATGAACTTTACAATGATATAAACATAGTACAACGGAGTAAATTACAGAGGCTCCATTGGATCGGCCATGTCGCAACAGATATGAAACTATTCAACACGGGTCACGATGCTGGGACCAAAAAAGGACGAAGGCCTGCGATCGAAAGACGAAGCGGAAAAGGACTTGGGTTCATTTGACATTTCCAATTGACGTAATTGTATGCGTAATCGAACTCGTAACTATGATCTCACTTTCCACATAAGCCTGCGTTCTTCATCGTAGATTTAAAGAAGTAAGCACAGCATTAAGCATTGAATTGGTACAGAACTGGATTAAACAAACATTTGAGTTTCTCCTACCACTCTGTGATGAACGGAAAAATGTGATAAACCAATGCCTTCTTATCCCTTCCAATGCGTTCCTTTCCCTTCCAATGCCTTCTCATCCCTTCAAATGGCTTCCTATCCCCTACAATGCCTTCTTATCCCTTCCAATGTGTTCCTATCCCTTCCTGTGTCATCTCATCCCTTCCAATGCCTTCCTATCCCTTCAAATGCCTTCGTATACCTTCCAATGCGTTCCTATCCATTCCAATGCGTTCCTATCCCTTTCAATGCCTTTCTATCCCTTCCAATGCCTTCGTATCTCTTCCAATGCGTTCCTATCCCTTCCAATGCGTTCCTATTCCTTCCAATGCCTTTCTATCCCTTCCAATGCTTTCGTATCCCTTCCAATGCGTTCCTACCCCTCCCAATGCGACCCTTTTCCTTCCAATGCCTTTCTATCCCTTTCAATGTCTTCTTATCCATTCCAATGCCTTATAAGTTCCACTGCCTTCCTATCCCCTCCAATGCCTTCGTGTCCCTTCCAATGGGTTCCTATCACTTCCAATGCCTTTATATCCCTTCCAATGTCTTCCTATCCCTTCCACTGCCTTCCTATCCCTTCCAATGCATTCTCATTCCTTCCAGTGTCTTCGTATCCCTTCCAATGCCTTCCTATTCCTTCCATTGCCTTCCAATGCCTTCAAACCTCTTCCTATCCCTTTTGATGCTATAACAAGGTCGATTTTCATCTTTGCTTTAATGACAGTTGCTAAATATTCAACGTTGGTGGAACCTACAGCACATATTTTGCAAATGAAGACAATAACCCAGCAAACACAGTCTCTAACGTTGGAGAAATTTTGATTTCTGCATTAGATTTGCATTTTTGTTGAGATCGCTAAGATTCTCGATAGTTTTTCGAGTCGTTCTCTAACGTTTGAGATTGGAGAATGTGGCTAGTTCTCCAATCATTCTCTAATCGATAACTAACCTCAAGGTTTGCTGGGAACTATATCTCATCTTCGCTGGTCAGCATATTGAAAATATTTTGGAATGATCGCAAGAATGCAGAAAGAGTTACTATGGAGTAAATTAAATAATCTCGTTTGATTACATCCGATCTAGGAGTAGAAATTTGACAGGTAAACAAAAAAAAAACAGAAATAACCCCCATCGGGCAATGAAAATGAGTACTGGTCTATAATAAAACCGTAATAAAACCGTATCTGGATTCACCAACGGCATCTTTATAACTACGCTTTTCCAATGAAAATACTCCAACTTTTTCGCTGTCTAGATTGCACCCATTGTACTCGATTAAAGCTCTACCCAGAATTGTAGCGGACGACGGTAAAGCGGTCGACGGTTAACCGCTGTCAAAATTAAAACTCACGAAGGCAGTGGAATGGTTGTTATTAGGGTAAAAATGGTTAAATAAAAATATCTATATCAAAAAAATTAGTAAATATGTATATTTCGGTTACCCTTGGCTGAATGGCATTGAGGTCATGTGCTTCTAAGTACGATGATCCAGGAAAGTGAAGTTTCCTGTACTTCGTCACACAACATACGCCTGGACAGATTTAACATGTCCAATGTTTGACAAGTATTTCAGTACCCTGCAATAGCCATTAAGATAACCTGTAAGGGCCGGATTCACAGTGCTTAGTTAAACGATTGTTAACTTAACCACCAACAAGAGTTTTACTTTCAACTTATATTATATCAGAGTCACATAATTAACTATGGAAATTCATATCGCCTGAAAGTATACAAATTCTTAAAATCAATACTTTTATATTCAAATTTGAAATTCGTTCCACAAAAAAAAAACTAAAAAATTAATTCCACAAGAGTTTAACTATGGGGGCATGCTGGTTTAAACTTTTGTTAACTGAGAGTTGTGAATATGAAAATCAATAGTTAAACTCTTATCAGTGGTTAACTATGCACTGTGAATTTGGCCCTAATAGTCTTTATTTAGTGCCTACTAAATTGTAGGAGTGCTCGGGTTCTTCTTGTTGAAATTTCCGGAAGAAGAACATAGTCTGTCTGTTATCTTGCTTNCTGTGAATTTGGCCCTAATAGTCTTTATTTAGTGCCTACTAAATTGTAGGAGTGCTCGGGTTCTTCTTGTTGAAATTTCCGGAAGAAGAACATAGTCTGTCTGTTATCTTGCTTCCTTCTCCGGTAATGTTGCGTTTCCTATTTCGTGCAGATACATGTGTGGGCTTATGATTCCCTGTGTAGCTTCTTGTCTGGTGAGAGTATCTGCCACTTCATTGTTCATGATTCCAATGTGTTCTGGTATCCAAATGAGATAAACCCAGTTCCAGGATTCGATGAATATTAAAAGTTAAAGGCTGTCCCATACCAGCTTTGAGGTACACTCGTAAAGGTGTCTATTGTTCGCCGCACTTTCTAGATATTCCAATGGCGTGCAATTGGGATACCATTGATAATAATAATACCACTCTAACCTCCGTTCACTACATTTGGACATAGATAATACGTTTCACCATGTGTTGTAGTTATGCAGGGAAAGTGCCGTGGGATCTCGGAGCTTTCGTTAATTAATAATAAATTTCAAAGCATGTGTTCATATTGGAAAATACTCATCTAGGATAAAATTATAAGGTATGCATTGTGATTGTTTTTTACATAGAAATAAGTATGAAAGCGCTATTACCCAAAGCGAATTTCCAAATCAATTTCATTTATTATTTTTGATAAATAAATATGTATGTATAAACTTGAGTATAAATATGTTGAAAGGCTTCAAGGCTTTTCAAGTGCACCTACATCCTTCTGCATCGCTTTTGATCCCCATCCCTTACTAATCCCAACCATGCTCTTTCTGCACCACATGTTTGTATATGGTAATTGGCACCGGGTATGGTTTAGGCACAGGGATTTTTATTTGCTTGATTACCTCTACTGGGTAGGGGCGCTCCACTTCGACGGGATATGGCTTCTCTACCGTATAGGGTATACGTTTTTCGGTAACCTCGGGCACGATGTTATAAGTTGGTATTTGTATTTCATGTTCCACAGGCACATGCACTGCATAAGGCTCAGGAATTTGTATGCGTATCACATTCGGCACCTCCACAGGCACTGGATGGGGTATGGAAAGTGGCACCTTCTCGATTACTTTGACCGGCACATGCTTTGATATCTCTGAATGTGTCTCATATGGGTGATGGCCGCCGCTGTACGATGTTTCCTCAAGACCATGATGTGAAGCGGCACACAA